GAAATCTCCAGTCTCCTTAACAAAACTGTGACTTTGTTTGTGTTTAATAAAAATGGGAGGATTCTTAGATTCACAACATAAGATTTATGAATTTATATAAGATGCTACATGACGACACTTGGAAATAGGTGAGCATGTTCAGCAGAGGTCACTAATGAATGTTTTTAACTAGATTCTGCGCTCATGGAAGGAATACGAATTGGCAGTATCGATCATCAATTATGGGAAAAAGATGCTGGACCTCACATCAGGGTGCAGAGCTCTGTTCGGTTTTAACGATCAAGAAGAATTTTCAGATGAGGTATTTGACGTTTGTTTCTCATCTTTAAACAGATATTTAGTTGGATCTTTTAGGAGACATAATATTCTTAAATATATTGGAAAATAATAAAAAATGTAACTTTCCTTATTTACATAGAAAACCAGTGTTCTCAGGAAGCTCTCCACCTCCCTCCTTCCCCTTTGCCTCTCTCAGCCTGCACTGGTCATCCAGGAAATGCAACGAAATCCATCTGAGAACACCAACACCAGTGTGAGGACCAGGGGAGGAGAAGGAGTCCTCCCACTCCACTCATCGTGGGGATCCAGCCCTATTAAATCTCTCCCAAACCTAAAATAGGGCATGGCTCTGGGAGAGTCACGGAATGCAGTAGGTACATGTTGAAAAAATTTTAATCTACACTAAAAGTAGATTTCTAAAACTCATCACAACATTTAAATTGTTGTCTTTCCTGAACTGGTAATTTCTTTTTTAAGGTTCATTTTTAAAATTTATTATTAATTGGGATTTAATAAAGATATCATATCATTCCATATTTGAATCACATGCAGTACAAGTGTACAATTGTTATCACAATCAGTTTCCAGACATTATAGACATTATTTTTCTACACGGACTCCTTGAGATTGTCTCCCTTTGACACATACCCACCCCCCACCCCCAGTGTCCCTCCTCCCCCTGAAACCCTTATTCCACTTTCTGCCCCTGTAGGTTCATTAATACTGGGTTTCATATACCAGAACATGGAAAAACATATAGCACAACTTTAAGAGGGTGACCTTCAACGACATAACACCTCTGAGCTACACCCTAATAGACTGCTAATTTCTGGGGCTTACAAATAGCTGCCTCCAAAGTGTGGGTCTGAACTAGAAGTTACAGTTCATGCTGCCTTTCCCTGAAACTATGCAGTTACATGTTTGTTTCTTTGTTTTTCATTTGGTAGATCCAACTTTGCAATATTCCTCAGTTTATCAGGTTTCTGAGGAGCACTAAGGATTCTTGGAAGCTCCCCCCCCCGCCCCCCCAGTGCTTGAGGTGGGGAAAGAGACTCTCATCTCCGATCCAGACGCACTTAGAATAGTTCCATTTCTATTTCTGCTCAGTAGTGAACTTCCTAGTCAGCACATGTTTGCCATAAACAAGTGTCAAAAGTCACTGCTGCTTTTCTGTAGTTGCACAGATCAGACAAGGACAACTGGAGGTGGTTCTGACCAAGTGCTGTCTAATCTCAAAGTCCATCAGCCAGGCCTTTGTTTCCAGGGCCCTGACGCAGGACCCTGATCCTTCAACCATGGTAGCCTGATGCAACCTCTAGTGTAGCGGGACGTTGGGAAGCTTTCCTTTGAGGAAGCATGTGGGAACTACAGCAGCTAATACTTAATGGGCTTGAAACCCAGAGGACAGGAGAAATTCACTGGCCAGTTCTCAGGCTTCTGGTTTCAAACATTAGGGGGCCCCTGAGTGCAGATCTGTCAATTTTTAATCCATTGATTACTGACCCTGTTCTGAGTCAATGAAAGGCAAAGTAGCCAAGGCATTAGCTTAGTTGTAAAACCGATCCTCCATATATTTGACCAGAGCACACAGGAGCAGATGACGGGGGAGGAGGAGAGACTGGAGCACATCCTGGCCCACCAGGCCTTGAGGACGATGA